AAAGTGGTTGGGGTAGATATATAGTTGCATTGTCTTAATGAATAGAATGATTTGTTCTAATGGTGTTTGTAAATAGGATCTCAAGTTCGCATCTTGTACAGCAATTAACCACTAAGAAGAATATATGCAGTGTATTATTTGTTGCAACTGTACTTCCGATTTGATTTGAAACTGTCTCATTGCTATCTGTTTATCAATAAAACTGTAGAAAAACAAAAAAATAAAATAAATAGTAAAAAAAAAAGAAGTGATCCAGGCGATTCTGGGCAGTTCCTCCTATGCTGAAAACAAGCACACTCTACAGTTCTCACTGGGAGAGATGAGTGAGAAAGGGGAGAGATGTGGGTTGGTCCATGCCACACAGGAAGCAGTCCTGCTGACAGCAGTGCTCCAGTATCAGAAGACTTCAACATCCCACAGCTGGTGGCGGAGAGAATACTGAGACATGGCACCAGTGTGGTAAGTGTGGGCTCCAGCAGTAACACAGACCCAGCAGACCTAAGCCACATTCAGTGCTCACTACCTGGTAGCAGTGGAATCTACATCTGCTCAAGCGCACACAGGACAGATCAAATGCCACAGTACCAAAAAGTGTTAACAACTGTTTAAAGACTGAAGTCAAACAGGATACCTTTTCTGATCACATAAGAAACCAAAACTCAATAATAGCAGAAGGAAAGCTGGAATAGTCACAAATATGTGGAAATCAAATACTATAATCCCTGAATGACTGTTACAGTTTATGCCTAAAAAGTCCCCCAAAAGTGTCGTGTTCAGAGGTGGGACATTTAGAGGAGGAGTGCATCCTGGAGGTGCTGTAGTCATCACTGGGTCAATCAGTTGATGACTTAGAGTTGAATGTGTGGTTGGAAGCTGGGGCGTGACCCGGAAAGGCTCACTGGGGATGTAACGTAGAGGACGTATCTACATGGGCTGAGCAGCTTTCATCCGCCATGACTTTCCACCATGCAGGAACAAAATGAAATCAGGAAGGCAGAGATTATTTGCACCATCATTGTTCATTATGGCATTATTCAAGGGATCAAAGATGGATGGAATGCAAGTGTCAATTGATAGATGAAGGGCTAGAGAAAATATGGGCTGTCTCTGTCTCAGAGCCAGCCAGCCATGTGCTAGACTCTGAAACTCAGAGATATAGTCAGCCTTTCCTCTTTTAAATTGCTGGTATTGGGTATTTAGTCCCAGCCATAGGAAAGTGATGAAATGCCACAACCAACTGGCCAAAAATAAAGGAAATTAGGAAATGTCTTGAAACAATTACATGTCATATAAAAATATATGAGATGTATCAAAGAATACTAAAAGGAGTGTTTATAGTGACCAACATTTATTTTGAAAAGAGAAGACCTCAAATAAACAGTTAACTTTATACAATATTTCTCCACAAAAGACTTACAAAGGCTAACAAGGGTATTAAAATATATTCAGTAGCATGAATCATGAGGGAAATGAAAATCAAAACTGTAGTTATAGATCACTTCCTTCCTTATGTGTTAGGAAGACAGAGAGAGAAAGGGAGGGAGGGCAGGGGAGAGAGAGGAAGAGAAAGAGGGAGGGAGGAAGAGAGAGAAAAAGAAGAGAGGGAGGGAGGGCAGGGTGAGGGAGAGAGCAATGGAAAGAGAGGGAGGAGAGGGAGGGAGGAAGAGAGAGAAAAAGAAGAGAGGGAGGGAGGGCAGGGTGAGGGAGAGAGCAATGGAAAGAGAGGGAGGAGAGGGAGGGAGGAAGAGAGAGAGATAGGAGTGTTGGATAAATTGGAGCAGATATAAACTGATGGTCACAATGTAAAATAGTACAGCTGCTATGAAAAACAGCATGGAAATTTCCTAACAAAATTTAAATACAACTGCTGTACTCCTATGACCCAGAAATCCCATTGCTGGATATTAATAAAAAAATAAAATAAAATAAGTCAAGAATGCAGAGACATTTGGGATATGTGCCATCATTGTTCATTGCAGTATTATTCACAAGAATCAAAGATGGGTGTAACCCAAATATCCATAGATCGATGAAGAAAATATGAGATATATGTACACTGAAATCATATTCGTCTACTTAAAACCAGAAAATCCTCAATATGGGACAACTTGAATAAGTAAGTTGAGGATATTAAGTGAAGTAAACTAAACACAGGACAGATATATAATGATTCCACTCTCATAAGGTATCTAAAATTCACAGAAGTGGGCCAGCCAGATAGTTCAGTGGACTAAAGTGCCTGTTTAGGCAAACCCAGGGACAGGGTTCAATCCCCTGCATGCCGTGCGGGTCCTGCACCTGGGGTGCACTGAGACTGCAACTGAGACTGGGTGTGGTGGCACGCGCCTGTAATCCCAGCTCTTGGGAGGCTGAGAATAGGAGGATCACTACGAGTCTGATCTGTGTAGTGAAACCCTGTAAACCCTGTACTAAATAATAATAATAATAATAAAATTCACAGAAGCAGAGTAGAATTCTGGTTGGAAGGAGGTTGGAGAAGAAAGAAATGGAATTTGCTATTTAATTACACAAATGAATAAATTCCAAATATCTGCTGCATAGCATCATACCTACAACAAAGCTTTAAATTTGTTTTAAAAGGGAGGTTTAATGTTAAATGTTATTACTACAATAAAACAAAATTATACAACATATTTAAGAGGATGATGGGGAAGACTTTCCAATATTGTCCATCATCAGATCACACAGTCATTTCTGAAAATCATAAGATACTTAAAACCAATTCATAGACATCTCACACAGATAGGCCAGGTGTGGTGACATACACCTATAATCCCAGCACTTGGGAGGCTGAGGCAGAAAGACTGTTCCAAGTTCAAGACCAGCCTGGGCTACCAAGTGAGCTCAAGGCCAATCTGAACTGCATACTGAGACCCTGTCTTGAAAAGACAAAAATTAAAATTAAAAAAAAGAATCGCACACAGTTGGCCATGTCTTCCTCCCATAGCGACAGGCTGGGCCCACACTGATGATGTAAGAGGCCAGTGGATTCCCCAGCCCACACACCCTGCCTCACACCCAGAGCCCTGAGGATGAGCAGGAAGAGGCTGGAGGCTGTGACTCACAGCAAGGAGACTCGCCCAGCATGTTCCTGGCAGGGTGACAGCATCCTTGGCGTGGCAAAGATGGAGCGGATCACACCAAGTCACCATCCTCCCAGTTCAGAGAGGATTCCAGGGAATACAGGAGGCTCCTCCACTGAACCTGACTTTTGGAATTGGCCTGTGCTTTCTTCCAAAATCAGAAACAACTCGTATAGAAGATCAAATCACACCACATACACAGACCAAACAGCAGGGAGGGCCAAGGCCAGCCAACTGGTCTCAAGGCACACCTGGCCCACAGCCCAGTTAAGTTCCGTGCACCACAGCCGCACCTGCTCATGAGCATCATTGGATGAGTGCTCCAGAGTCAGTGGCAAGACTGAGAACCGGGGCGAAGCCTGAAGCACCACCCAACTCCAGCAGACTAGGAACTCTGAAAACACTAAAGCAAGTATCTCCATGGCAAAATACATTGGAAAATGCCTTGTTTTCCTCCATTCATTAAAGTGCAGAACCAAAAGGGTGATAGGAAGAATCTAAATCTGAACAGAATTCACTAACTTTCTAAGACAAACAGCTCAGGATAGGCCAGCTAGGTTGTACAGCACATATTTTTCCATAATATCCAGTATTGTGCTGAAGGATTAGAGACTGCACTGAAATCTAAGTTTTGTTATTTGCCAACTGTGTGGCCTTAGGCAAGTTACTTAAACTTTCTAAGCTTTGCCTTGAAGTAATTTTTTTAAAAATGGTCTCATTCATAGGACTGCTATGAGAAATGAATGAGTTAGCGAACCTACAGTGCATAGCACAGTACTCAGTACATTAGTGTGTGTGCAGAGGACCACCTAGCGCTGTTACCATCATCAAAAGATTCCAGCTCAGCTCAACTCTCCAGACTGGACGAGAAGCTTAGGCCTTACCTGTGCAGTTTTCTGCAGGATCTCTACAGAGGAGGTCAGGAGTCGCAGGGCTTCTGGTTGAGTTCGCATCTGCCAGCACACAGTGAAGGAGCATCAGACCTTCAAGTTCAAAAAAGAACCGAAACCAAGCATGAGAACTGGACTTGTTGCTTAGTGTAAAATGCCCATTCAAAGTCACTACCTGGGTATAAAAGTAGCATACCTGTCACCTCCATTTCCAAGCCACTCTCCCAAGGTACGGCTCAGGCCTTCAGCCAGGGCTGAAAAGAGTTTTCACTTGCAGGAGACGCTGCACCCTCAGGCAGGAGACCCAGCTACAATGTGTAACAGGGTCTCATCCCCAAGGCAGAGAGGTGCACAGAACCTAGCCAGTTTCTAAAGATAATGGATGATGAGCCCACAGCTCAGTGCAGCTTCCTCATGGCTTCTGGGGCACTAACCATGGAGTGTCCTTCCTTCAGGGAAGGTAGAAATACATATTGAGCCCAGGGGAAGCTTTATAGTTAGGCTCCCCACCCAAAAGTCTAACTGAAGAGATACGGATAGTCCTCCTGAGGTCCAGGGGAGAACGAGTGCTGTGTGAACTTAAAATGACTCAGAATACAACAAACCAAACCCACACAAACCCAGTGGCAAAGTTATCTGTGAGGTCATCCGGGAAATTTGACACTCCCCGGGCATCAGATGATAATAAAGAACTGTTATATATATTTTGAAGCATAATTATGATATTGTAACTTACATTGAAAAACAAAGCCCGAGTCACTTATAGACATACATTTAAATAGTTACTGAGAAAGTAAAATATATGAGATCTGTTTTAAAATAATCCAATAAGGGAATGGGAATCCCAGGTCACAAGGGACAGGCATGAGGGGGCCGAGGCTGCCTGCCAAGTGATAGCTGAAGCTGAATGTTGATGCAGGAAAGTTTGTGATGCTGCCTGCCCTGGTCAGTAAATCCTACAGACATCTACCATGACAACAAGAGAGAGGAGGAAAGGAGGAAAGGGTGGAAAGAGAGATGACTTAGGATGAGCTGGCACAGAGCGCAAGACCTATTCTTGTCCGGGTTAAATACGTGGAGTGTGCTTTAACTACGCAAACTCTAAACACAGTGCTGGTAACTAACTAATCAACACTCTATAAAATTGCTGTCTTGCAAATGACAAGAAGAATATAATCCTTCACTGGCTGTATTTAAAATTACACACTTGAGCTGTGGTCTCTTAACAAAACCAGTTCTCCAATTCACCAAATACTCCTGGGTACCCAAGAGCACCCAGGTGAGACTCTCAGATCCTCCCCAGCCAGCAGAGCAGTTCTCAGCCAATCAGACCAGACCAAAAGTGAGAGTGTTGTAAAAGTGAAGAACAGTGGCCACCAAGTCAAGAATTTTTTTTCTTCTT